CTCAAACCCCCAGTCAGCAACAGAAACTCACTGAGAAGGTGACACTGGTAAACCTACTCTTTCAAATGTCTCACTTACCTTCTAAACTCTATTAAGTGTTACTGTAGAGTTGGGTGCAATTTAACTGCACATAACACAAACACAAACAGAGAAATGGGAAAGATCTTGTCTAAGATGTAATTGAGATGTACTGATGAGGGAATCAAGGCTGCTTTGAGTGCCCACTTCTGAGTCCCATAACAACTCCCTAACCTTCTGGAAAGCAGCCCATTTATAAGAATAAAGTTGTGTTGTGGCAGGCTTTCGGGTGTTAGCTAAAATGGTTGTTACTGAGGAAAAATCCTCAGTAAGGAGCTGGAGAATGTGAAGGTCACGGTGGTAAGTTCTGCCCTGATGTTGAGTGAGGAGATGAAGAATAGGGGACAGGAGAACATGGTCTGTGGAGATGGATCAGAGCATGGTGAACCATGGCTGCCTGGGCCACTACAGGGCGATGAGAATAGTGTTGGAGTGGCTTTGATGGAATTTGAGTATTCTCCTGAGGAGGAGAGGAATAGGCGAGAAAAGATAGATTAGATTTGTGGTCCAATTGATCATGAGCACATCCCTGAGAGAGCCTGGGCCTATGCCTGCTCTGGAGCAATAGAGAGTTCATTTTGAGTTTTGGGACGTGGCAAATATGTCTATGTGAGGCTGTTCTCAGGGTTGCAAAGGCGGAGAAATACAGCTTGGTCAAGAGTACATTTGTGGTAGGGGCGTTAATAAGTCAAGGCACCACTGTAGTAATTCAGATCTCAGAGGTCAAGAATGGGATGTAAACCTCCATCACGTTTCTAGACAGTGATGTAACGGGAAAAGAATCTGGCATCATTTTCTGACAGGTTGACAGATGATATGATGTCCTTCAGAAGAAGGGATTGAATCTCTTGGTCTAGTACCTCCAATGGTGATGTTAGAATGGTTCTGGTGTGTGGTGAGTCTTTCTGGAGGTGATGGGTTGGGTAAAGCAGACACTGACTCTGAGTCACACACAGAGACTGAGCAACCCATGGATTTGGGGCTCGAATGTGCCGATTGGGAGATAACTGTCACCTCAGCCAAGATGTTAGCCCAAGATGGAGACTGGGCAAGGAGTGGAGACAGTGGTTGACCAGAAGGTGGTGGCATAAAATCATCATCTGGAGAGTCAAGGCAGATGGTTGGTCCTGTAAAAGAATTTTTGGAGTAGTCTTGTCAGGTGCCGTAGATCTTTAGCAGACTGGGAATCCGAAGAGGATTTCTTGGTCTTTTTAGGCTTGGAGTGTTCTGGTACCAAAGGAAGGTTTGGTACTGGTCTCGACTTGATAGTCGATGGCTAAGACTTACATTTAGAAGTGGACTTAGACTTGGATTTAGAAGTTCGTAGCTTCATTGTCGGAGAAGCGGTGGACATCTCGGGATCCTTTGTGGGGCTGAGAAGTTTGGGAAGCCTCCATAGTTTGTGCTGGGTGTAGAGAATGCTCCCAAAGGAAAAAAAACAATCTAAAATGTTCTTCTCTGAGCTCAAGATCTTGTTTAGCAAATTTTTTTGTAAAACTGGCACGTAGATGGCTGGTGAGACTCCCTGAGGCAAATAGTCAAAGATCGTGTCGATCTGAGAGGGGGATCTTCTTGGAGCACGAGGTCCACTGCTTAAATGGCAGTACAGAGGCCATAAATGGCATGGGGGAAAGGGGGTGATCCAAAGAGCAAGAAATAGCTCAAAAAGTCTCTTACAATTTCCTCTCAGTTATTTTTATTATAGGAAGAAATCGAAAGCAGTGGCAAACGGAGAGCTCAACAAGAGATGTCGATCTGAGAGGGGGATCTTCTTGGAGCACGAGGTCCACTGCTTAAATGGCAGTACAGAGGCCATAAATGGCATGGGGGAAAGGGGGTGATCCAAAGAGCAAGAAATAGCTCAAAAAGTCTCTTACAATTTCCTCTCAGTTATTTTTATTATAGGAAGAAATCGAAAGCAGTGGCAAACGGAGAGCTCAACAAGAGATGAAACCTCATTATTATAGGAAGAAATCGAAAGCAGTGGCGAACAGAGAGCTCAACAAGAGATGAAACCTCAGCAGTGACAAAAAAAAAAGAACTGAGGCAATCGCCAGGACGGGCGGACCACGTGTACTGGGGGGGCGGTCCTGGGGAACGCGATGGGTGGACCACGTGTACTGGGGGGCGGCGGTCCTGGAGAACGCGTGATAAAGCTCTAGAATATTTCGGAAACCTCTGCGCAAGTGCAGATTAAACCCTATAGTGTGCATTCACAGATCATGAAGAAGAACCAATAATTCTGGTTCCTGTGGCTTCTCTACACTGTTGTTAAGTCTGGGTCACTTGAGAATGATATATGCAGGGATGGGGCAGAGGAATAAATGCCTGGTTCTGAATGTATGACAACCATTTTGGTGTTTTTTTTCTGATTCAACTTACCGTATCCTTGTTTGGGAAGGACGTCTGGAAGTGGTATAGCAATTTTGGGTGGGCAAAAGGGATCACCCAATTCCAGCAGCACATTAGCAGTATGTGTCTTCTTAGGTTTCAGCATCCTGGGTCAAAGCCCCAGATGCCCTATCTTAGTTATAACTCTACAGCAGGGGTCTCCAAACTGCAGCCTGCGGGCCACATTTGGACCACCTTGGCTTTTTTGTCCGGCCAAGCAGACGGGCGGGCATGCTTCCTTCGGCCTTCAAAAATCTGGAAAATATATGTTGTGGCCCTCACTCTGAGAAGTTTGGAGACCCTTGCTCTACACCACAGCTGTTCTCAACAGACATGGATAAGTCAATGAGAAGGTCTTTTTACTTGTTCCTACCGGATGTGCTTCTAGGACTCGTGGGACTGAGGGAATAGTTTCCCTAAAAATCAAAAATCTGGAAAATATATGTTGTGGCCCTCACTCTGGGAAGTTTGGTGACCCTTGCTCTACACCACAGCTTTTCTCAACAGACATGGATAAGTCAGTGAGAAGGTCTTTTTACCTGTTCCCACCAGATGTGCTTCTAGGACTGATGGGACTGAGGGAATAGTTTCCCTAAAATGTCTTAAAACATCCAGGCAGATTTGTTAGGCAGAGGAAAATATATGTTGTGGCCCTCACTCTGGGAAGTTTGGTGACCCTTGCTCTACACCACAGCTTTTCTCAACAGACATGGATAAGTCAGTGAGAAGGTCTTTTTACCTGTTCCCACCAGATGTGCTTCTAGGACTGATGGGACTGAGGGAATAGTTTCCCTAAAATGTCTTAAAACATCCAGGCAGATTTGTTAGGCAGAATATGAGTTTTTGAAACAGCCTGCATCCATAAATTGATCTCCCATGGTCAACCTGGGGCTCAGCTCCTTTTGAAATATTTATACATGCCATAACAACGTATAGGAAAAATACAAAATGCGCACAATCGTATCAAAAATATTTTATTTATTAAAGTAACAATTGTACTAAACAACCTATACTTGAAATGCATTGAATAATTGCTAGAATAAATACAGGCAATTAATTCAATCTCTTATAGAATGAGAGGATTTTATTTGACACTGAATGTTATTACCCCAAAGCTTTAATTTACACAGTATAAATAGTTACAAAGGAAAAGTCAAGTTTTTCTCTTTTTTTAACTTACTTTCTCCATTTGTGTGACTTGCTTGTTTTGTTTTCAAAATGTTTAATACTGATCCATTTGGTCACCGAAAAGGATCAAGGTCCACCCCCACCACTCTGTGTTGCAAGCATATATTAAGGTGAATTTGCAAGGAAATATGTTATTTCCATAACATCAGACAAACAAAAGGTAGTATGTGTGTTGCACATTCCACAGCAGAAAATGAAAATCAAACTCATATCTGCATTAAAATGAGGACAAAAACATAACTTAGTTGGACTTTTATTTTACCACAGGGTGTGTCCACATAAGAATCTGAAATAAAATGGATCCAAATATAATCACAAGTATTTTGCTGATTCCCCCCGGAAAAAAAATTCTTTAATAAACATTTCTCCTGTACCCCTTTGGCTAGACAAAAACTAAGCATCACTTTCCTCTTTTTCCAAACCAGATTTGCATATTTGGGTCTAGTTTAACAAAAACAAAAACCCAACAAAATTTTGTGCATACCAATAAATAAGCAATTGGTCTAAATTCTTTCAGTGGAGACTGGAAACAAGTAGAATTACTGCCACAAAACTTGTAGTAACTTCTTCTTTTGCTCCTTATAGACACACAGAGGTGTATCTGGACTATCCCTGCTATCAGGAATAAGTCCAATTAAACTCAGTGGGATTTATTTCAGAGGAGACCTGCAGAAGATTGTGTTGTAAGGTAGCACATTTCAGTTCCATTGAAATCAATAGGCGTCAAGTTGATAATAACTAACGTTTGACTGATGTCTATGGGACTAAAGTGAAAACGGTGTCTGGTTCCACCTATAAACCATTGCGAAAGCTAAACAATTGCCTAACATTCCAATTTCCTACACTTTGTAAACCTTACACTTTGTTCTTGTCTGGAAAAGATAGCAAGATTAATGTCATACAATCTGAACAATCAGATTGTTTGGTTGTTCTGCCAGTTTTGAGCATTGAAGAAAAGGTGTGGTGTTTTCCTCCAAACCTAGGTTTGGTGTAAACACACTGATTTATTTCAGAATTTTCTAATTCCAAATTATTTTGAGTATCTCCCAGCATTGAAGGCTATGAATCCTTGAAGATGCATATCTGTTCAATCCACAGAATGTTGTATCTTTGCTTTCTGAATGAAAACTCTACAAATTCCATGCTTTAAAAATCAACCAATAGCTTTGAGATTACATTATATATGGTGCAACTTGGTGACAGTCATATGTCTATATTTCCATTTCTTTCAGAAGCATTTGTACCAAGCCTTCCTTATGCTTCAGTCTTTGGCTTGTACAAAAGTTTATTATATATACTGTACCAAGCCTTCCTTATGCTTCAGTCTTGTACAAAAGTTCATTATTTATAAACATGGGATTCTTCTATCTAAAAAGAGGACACCATTCACTTTTGTGAACACCAGAAGCTACTCTGGCCATCAAAATGAATGGGGAAGTCATTGGTGGTGGAAAAGGTAAAGTAATAATAGATTTAGTCGAGCCACTGAAATTAATGAACTCTGAGTTAGCCATGAACAACTTAATTCTCATTGATTTCAATGAATCTTCTCTTCAGTAGGGCTAAAACTGGAATCTTCCCTGAAACAGGAGCTTTAAGCTACTCTTTTTCCCCCTCTCCCCATTAATTATAAGTAAAATTAAGTCATCCAGTTACGAATATAACCTTAAACCTTCATTTTAGAAATTGAGGTGATAGAATTCTGGACTATACAACTTTAGGGGAAGGGCATATTGGAAGGCCCTTATTTTAGACGATTCTTGAATGTTTTGAATATTTGTTATCAACGTGGTGCTCTCATGGCAACCCCATGAATGAGTGACATTCTAAAGATCCTATCATGTATAGCCCTGCTTTCCAAGCTCAAGACTGTGGTTTCCTTTATTGAGTCATTTGCTGATATTATTTCAGTACGTGCCTGAGAAAGGCATGCTAAAACATTGTCCCTCTGGGCAAAGTTAATATATGTAGGGTGCTTTTTCATATACAGGAAAAATAAAAATAAAAAATTTGATTCCACACCTGCATTATGAGGTGATAACAGATTATTTTGTTGCCATACAAAATTTAAATTCTGCCACTGGTTTCCGAGTAGGGCCGAAAAGCACTAAAGCTGAAATCTTGCACCAAACGTGTTCCAATTGTTCAGGGGAGATGCCAGACAAATTCATGAGGTCATCCAAGCTAACAGAAATTCTAAAATGGAAACCAAGAGATATGCTATAGTCCCACTGTTCAAATAATGATAATAAGAAATCTGATCAATACTGGGAGATCTTTTGTTAAAAATCAATAGAAAATGCTGGGTTCAGAACCAGATTCATGGGTGTGTGTGAGAAGAAGAGCTATTAAGGCATATTTTTAATCCTCAAATGTGCACTATCTGACAGGAGTTAATATTCCCTCTTACCACATTTCTGAGTGGAAAAAGATTGCACATATCTATCCCTTTGGCCTTGCTGGGCACAATCCCTCAGGAAGTTCTTAATGCTGTTAATCTGTTGAGGGAAGAAAGCTGTTTCTGTGAGGAAGCACCAAGGAACGGACAATCTTGGAAGAGGGCACAGACGACTGGAGCCCTGAACAAAGCATTTCACACTGCAACATTTTGTCGCAGGCCTCATTTGAATTGAGCAGTTGACCATTCATTTCAATGGGTTTTGTGCTGAAGAACTTCCTGGAGGATTGGGCTCTCCCTTGCGCACAACGATTTTGTCTCCAAAAACTAACACAAAGTTGGCATTTTTCGTACAAAATTAAAACCAAAAGCACATTCTTAAATACTTTTACAGAAATAACTATTCGTAAGTACAGAGAGAAGATTTATTCTTTCCATTGTGAAAAATATATAGATATATATAAAATCAGCATTCATTTTCACATTGTGGGCAAAGGTTTCGTTTGTTTTTAAAGGAGGCATTTTTTTCAAAGCCTGTTTGAAATAGAAGAGAGACTGTAGGAATGTGGGGCAAGGAAGGAAAGAGTGTACTTTTTGGTGGATATAAAATACGAGATTGTTTTTTTTAAAAAAAATTGATAAAAAGTAAACAAAGTCAAATAATTACAATTATACAAAGTAAAAACCACACTTGGTCATCAAACCTTATAAAAATTGACTTTGGAATTACAATTGACAGCCTAACACACAAACTTGTCGACGTACAAACATATACCAACAGGTACACCCACACCCGCTTACACACGCACACCCACAAAGACCTTCCTAGGTAAATCACAGAACAAGAAGTTCATAAATTAGGTTGCAAGGGGTTCCCAGATCCTTTGCTTCTGTCTCCAAGACTCCCTTTCTTCCATGCCCGTCCACATCAAGAGCATGACCAATGAGGTATATATAGGACGTTAACACTTTTGGGCATACGCACAACAGAAGAAAGTGCATCATCAGAGACTACCCACAGGAATGGGTTTAAATCCATGTGATTTCGTTTTCCCCTCCCCCCCACAAGGCACAATCACATATTTAGTTTTAGTTTGCTTTGGCATGGTCATGTTTTCGTTAATTTTCAGTTCCAAGCAGCAGTGATCCGTTTTTTCCTTGATGGTATCAAATTCAGTGCCACAAACCCTAGAAGGTTCATCATCAGGTCGCTTGAAAAACTTCCCATGGGCAGCCCGAAAAAAATAAAACGATAAAGACACAGTGGTCAAATCATACATCAAGCACCATGTCGTACTGTTCTTTCTTCCGCCTACCACATTTGGTGATGAGAACCAAGTACAAAGTCAAAAGCATCACCCAGTAGCACGCGTAAAGTATCGTACCGATAATCAGCACTGTTTGTTTGGATTCAGAAAATGGCTTTTTCGATTCCTTGTAGACTGTGAAAATAACACCACCTAAGAGGATTGTAAACCAAATGGACACTGGGATGAGCCCTATAAAATTGACCACAATTGTTTTTCTGCCTGATGTGCCCCATCCTGCCTTGTTTATCGTGGCGATTGCAAACATCTTGGCCGGAAGTAAACTTGACATGTACAACACAGAGTAAAGGGACATGAACACCATGACAATGTTCCCTCTAAGGCAGCTGGCGAAGGAAGACTTTATAAGGCCCACCAGCTGGACTGTCAACAAGAAAAGGAGAATGTTCCATAGCTTCCCTCGGTAGAAAAGCTGGATGACCGTGGCGATGAGAAAAAATGGGAAGAAACCGGTGATGACGGCCTCGTAGGTCATCCACAGATGATGCTTGTGGAACCACATTGCATTGTACAGCCACTCTCGGAAATAGGATTTACTCCAACGAGTTTGTTGGTTCAACCACCTGAGATATTCTATGGGTGTTTCAGTAAGGCACTTTGATCGAGCGGTATATTTCGTTGCATAGCCGAGGCTGAGGACTCGGTTGGTGAGGTGTCTGTCATCTCCAAAGCTACACTGGGATCCCATGAATTCTTGATTGTACCAGTCTTCCACAAATTCGTGCAGCAAGGAGTTTCTGTACATCCCCAAAGGTCCACTGATACATTGCACGCAGCCAAAGTACGACTGGCATGCCCTTTCAATGTTAAAGGCCATCCAGTATCTGACGCTGCTGAGAAAGGAGATCCACGAATCATACTTGTTCAAAATCTACAATAAAAACAGAAATTTTTAAAATAGTTTCCTAACAAAAAATAACATATGCTGGCTTTTAAAAAGCCATGAGGTGAAGGCCACAAATATATTTCTGCCAACTACAATTTCTGATTATTTTCTCTCCCATCACTCCACCCTATTTTTCATTATGCGTAATTTCCATTGTTTTGGCTTCCATATGCCTTATACCAATATTACATATATTGATGGAATGACTCATTTGTGGCTGTGGTTTTTGAATTTATGTTGTGGTAAAACCAGTGATTACACAGTGGCTTATCAGGAACTCCATAAAAAGATTAGCAAAGGCAGACAAGAATCTTTTAAAAACAGAACGACTTCCACTTCTCTTCTCCTGTAATGTGCCAGCACAAGCAAACGTCAGGCATAGTCCATATGCTGGAAATTTATTCCATAAAGTATTTTGTTGAAATTTTAGTTCCAAGCCCCACATCCAACCATAGTGTAGTTACTGACAGAACTACTTTTCCAAGTCTTCACATTCGTGTACCTTAATAGCAAGTAAATTCCCTTTTTAGTTACACTTTTAAGAAAACATAAGGCATGGAACACATAACGCATTTTCCCAGAAAGGGCCCTGGGATGTAGCAGGACGATGGGCACTGTTTTTGATTGTTATAGAAGGACGTAACATTCCTAATTATTTAATTTGTTGCCATGGTGTTTGTATTGTCATAAGAATGTAAGAAAAGCCCTGCTGGATCAGGCCAAGGGCCCATCTAGTCCAGCTTCCTGTATCTCACAGGGGCCCCACCAGATGCCTCTGGGAGCAGACGTGACAACTAGAGACCTGTCTCCTGATACCCCTTCCCCTGCATCTGACATTTTGAGGCACCATCCTTTTAAGCCTGGCGATTTTACGTCCCCATCATGGCTTGTAACCTGCAATGGACTTTTCCTCCAGAAATCTGTCCAATCCCCTTTTAAAGGCATCTAGGCCAGATGCCATCATGACATCCTGTGGCAAGGAGTTCCACAGACTAACAACACACTGGGGAAATAAATGTTTTCTTTTGTCTGTTTTCACTCTCACAACACTCAACTGGAGTGGATGCCCCTGGTTCTGGTATTGTGTGAGAGGGAAAAGAGCTTTCCACTTTATCCAGTCCCTGCATAATTTATAAATCTCAATCATGTCCCCCCCCTCAGGCATCTTTCCTCTAGAGCCCCAAATGCTGTAGCCTTTCCTCATAAGGGAGGTGCCCCAGCCCAGTCATCATTTTAGTCGCTCTCTTCTGCACCTTTTCCCAGTTCCAGAGTCATAAGACAATAAGGTATAGCATAAGGCAGTTGTGGATTTTCTGCCTCAGGTGCCCGTATAGCTTGCCTAGTTTCAAGTATGATGCACTTTGAGGGTGCCATTTGCTGTTCTGCTTCAGGTGGTAAAACGTCTTAGGCTAGCCCTGGTGTCTCTTCCCATCCACTGTGTTGTAGATTCGGCACACACAACACAGCACGAGGCAAAAGCATCACTCAAACCATGAGATACTCTTATTTTGCCATTTCAGAAAGCCATAGACCCTTAACTATGAAAACAAGTTTTTTAAAAGTCAGGTATAACATAAAAATAGACCCTTAACTATGAAAACAAGTTTTTAAAAAGTCAGGTATAACATAAAATGGAAGGACAGATCCTGAAGCTGAGGCTCCAGTACTTTGGCCATCTCATGAGAAGAGAAGATTCCCTGGAAAAGACCTTGATGTTGGGAAAGTGTGACGGCAAGAGGAGAAGGAGACGACAGAGGACACAATGGCTGGACAGTGTCATTGAAGCTACCAACATGAATTTGACCCAACTCCGGGAGGCAGTGGAAGATAGGAGGGCCTGGCGTGCTCTGGTTCATGGGGTCGCGAAGAGTAGGACACGACTAAACGACGACGACGATAACATAAAATATTTAATTTTATTCTAGAACTCACCAAGAGGAGAAGGAGACGACAGAGGACACAATGGCTGGACAGTGTCATTGAAGCTACCAACATGAATTTGACCCAACTCCGGGAGGCAGTGGAAGATAGGAGGGCCTGGCGTGCTCTGGTTCATGGGGTCGCGAAGAGTAGGACACGACTAAACGACGACGACGATAACATAAAATATTTAATTTTATTCTAGAACTCACTGAGTTAGTAGAGTCGGACACAACTAAATAACTAAACGATGACAATATGTAATTGAGTTAGTTGTAATGTAATGTTATTATTGTTACTAGGGAAACAAACTAATTGTAAGAAATTAGTTGTTTGTAATTAGTTATTTCCAATTTTCTGGATATGTTCTATGTCACACTCTGGCTTCATAAAAAATCATTGAGAGAACTGACAGGCCCATTTATAAATTGAGTATATGTCCCACAATGAGAGTTTAGAAATGTCTGTCTTTGGGTTGTAACATACAGAACTCCTTAGTCAGGTTTGGGGGATTCTGAATCAATAGGTGCAATCCTGTTGGCACAGTTCCGCTAGCATAAACCAGATCAAGGCACAGGAAATTATTAATTTAAATTAATATGAAGCTTTCTGTCCCCTGTTTCTCCTTCTGAGGCTCCCCAGAGTTCCCTTTTGCCCTGAGGAAGTCTTTGGAAACCTCAGGATGGGTGGCAGATTTATTAGTCAAAAATCACCACATGCCACAATATGGATGACTCCACTGTTTTAAAAGCTGAACTTCCTATGGAATACATTCCATAAGAACCATATGTAATAATGCCAGCAGTACCCCTCCAGGGGCAGGAATCACAAAGAATCCTCCCTGTCTTGTTGCACCCTCTCATTTGCGAGTGGCTTCTGGGCGGCGTACAACATTAAAGCTTAAAAACATTAAAAACATTTTCAAAGACAGAATAAAATAGCATATATTAAAATATTTCTTAAAACATTAAAATTAATTAATTAAAATGCTGGGTGAACAGAAAGGTCTTTGCCTGGCGCCGAAAGGCCAAGAGTGTCGGAGCCAGGCGGATCTCTCTAGGGAGGGTGTTCCAAAGTTGGGGGGCAACAACCGAGAAGGCCCTATTCCGACATGCCATCCCCTTCACCTCTTTCAGGGATGGCACCTTCAGAAGGGCCTCCTGGCCTGATCTTAAAGGACGGGCAGGCACATATGGAAGAAGGCGGTCCTTTAGGTAACCAGCCCAGTGACTACACACATCAACCTCAATCCAGGGAAGCCCTTTGTGGAATCATCTGTTTTGAGCAAGTAGTCATCTTTTTTTGTTCAGCCAGCAGAAGAGGTTTAAAATTGTCCTGATCTGTTTCACATCATGTTTGTCTGCTTTCTGACAATGTGATCTGATGCAAAGGGGCACTTTCTCCTCAACTGGGCACCCCTTGTCTCCATACCATTTTTTGAAAGAAAAAAAAAGTTTGCACTCAGCACAAGAACAGATTTTCACTAGGGGACTTAGGAGAGAACGACAGAGAGAAAAGAGGTGGAAATAGCCAATTAGCACATGTTAGCACCTAATGGCAGCTTCTGCTATTGGCGGTCAGTGCAAATCAAGCTCTCTCTTGCCTCTGCCCCTGCTGACTCCTGCAAATTGTCATCTGGACCAGTGGTTCTTAACCTTTGTTACTCGGATGTTTTTGAACTGCAACTCCCAGAAACCCCAGCCAGCACAGTTGGTGGTGAAGGCTTCTGGGAGTTGCAGTCCAAAACTCCTGAGTAACCCAAGGTTAAGAACCAGTGATCTGGACAACTACAGCAATTTCACCAATGGAGAGCCAATTTCCAGGGGCAGGAATCACAAAGAATCCTCACTGTCTTGTTGCACCCTCTCATTTACACTTTACAGAATAGAGGAGGGGATTGTTTGGGTATTGCAGAAAGAAATAGCACATATGTTGTGTAATTGTATTGCATGTAGAAGCAACACATCTGTTTCACTTCTTGTAAATATATGGATCAAGCAGCTTTGATGTCTAGTGGTTTCTTGACTCGTGCTTTCAGAGAGAAAAAATGCACTCGTAGTCAAGATTGGTAGATTCCTGGGATATGAACTTTGTGTATGAACGTTCCAATTATGGAACTTCTCCCCACAAAGGAATTGAATTTGGTTCCTTGTTCATCTGCCTATAAAACAGGCAATAAGGACCGTTTTGTTCTGTTGGGCTTTTAAGACTGTGTAATGTTTTGTCACTTTTCAGTTTTAATATCACACTCAAACGTGCTTCTTCAGTTTGTTGATGTGTGAGTGTGGCTTTAATGACTTTTTAATTATGCATTGCTTTAACCAGCTGGTAAGCAGAATGTGTAACTCACTGATTTAATAAATAATATGTATTTGCCGTTTTCCTACTTAAAAATTAATATTTGCAAAAAAGGTAAAATTGAAGTTGAAGTGATCCTAAATGTGGGAAAGGGTTTTGATGAAAAGTCTAACATGTTTATATTCACCTGTACATCTCCCCCAACACCTCCAACCATTGGATCTTCTTCTAAAACCTTTACCATTTCCACGGATGAAGCTGGATCAAGCATTGTATCAGAATCACATACCTGTTCAAAAGAAAGTAACATGGAATTACTAATGATACCAGTGTCAGGACCACTGAAAAAGAAAAGTAGTAAGCAAGGAAGCAATAAAATGACCTATTCCATACCCACCCATCATATGCATATAATGATCACAGTTTCAGTGTTCTGTGAGTGCTGTCAATGTCACAAAACCAAATCCAATACAAAAGGCAATTGAACGATGGGATTTATTATATAAATGGCTTGAGTCACCAGACAGAGCTTGAATAACATAGAATTAAACTAAGATGTAACTGTAAGTTGAAACCTGGACAGCAATCAAATTGTAAAAAGGTAAAAAGTGGACCTGATATTGCAACGCGAACAAACAGATTGGATGATAGAACATTTTATGTTCTCCTTCCTCCTCTCTCTCTTTTCCCCCCTACATCCCCCTCTAACTTTTGTATTCCTTACCTTATTCCTAGTTTTTTTTTTTAAAAAATATTTTTAAAAAATGTCACAGAACCAAATCTAAGTAAGTTTTAAAAATAAAAAATAATTTTTTAAAAAATGTCACAAATCTAAGTAAGCTATTTCTAATTCTTCAGCAGTGAGTGGAAGGATGTGGGAAATTCATATAAAGAAAATCATGAAATGAAGTTGGTACAATGAAATTTAAAAGGCTGACAATTGGGATTCGAATTCACATGAAGAAAATGAGCACTGCGACACCTGCATTTTTGAACTGCAGATTTCAAAACATGCCTGTTTTCATAGGGAGGGTTCAAATCCATACCTCCAGATGTGTAATCATCTGACCCAACTCATTGGGGAAAAAATCCACTCATACAAAATTTACATCGTTCCTTCTTTTCTAATCAGACACATGGGCACTTCATTTAAATCAAAGTAGCCATGCGACGGCTGTAACTACAAAGGAACCATGTGCTACTTTTGAACTTCCAGATGTTGTTGAACTACAATTCCCATCCATGCACCCCTGGCTATGCTGTTAGCGCTGATGGGAGCTGCAATCCAACAGTATCTGACCAGCCCCAAGTGGCCAAGCCCTGTTATAATGAGAGTCTCTTCTCAGATCCTGATGTATTTATTTTATTAGGACGGGAGATCAACCAATTTGTAGCAAGGGAAGTGTTGCTGAAATGGAATGCCGAAACACAACTTTCTGGGTGTTCTGCACTTTTCCTGCCCCCACTTGACGGAAGAACACCGGATGCATTTGGTGCCCTCACTTGAGACGTTTCCTGATGTCGCCTGTGGGGAATGAATGATGAGTGAATCTACAGATGCTTATAAAAATTGGCTGAGGACCAGGGAAGATACATGATAGCCTTTCTTAACCACTGAAGGTTTAACCATTTCGGTGTGTGTGTGTGTGTGTGTGTGTGTGTGTGTGTGTGTGTGTGTGTGTGTGTAGATTCTGCTTTGCAGATCTCTTTGAACTTAGCTTCCATGGGGCTGTGCAACATAAAACATTTTATTTATACAGAACTGCTTCTCATATTCTTTTAAAGGCTTTTCTGCTTTCAGTTCTAGCATGTGTGAAATGTATTACAGGAATGGTGTTTCTTCTCTCCTTTGGGAAAAAAAGTTGTAAAATGTTATGCATATGAGGAAAGTGTTAATGAGTGTCTGCAATCTTGACTACAATTCTTGGTTTTCTGGGCAACCTAAGGCAAAGTGTGCTGCTTATAGACTGTCCCATAGCACTTAGAGCACTCTTTGGGCGGTTTACAATTTAATATTGCAGGCTACAGATTGGGTACTCAATTTACCAGCCTCAGAAGGACAGAAGGCTGAGTGAACCTTGAGCCAGCTACTTGGGATTGAACCCAGGTCTTGGGCAGAGTTTTGGCTGCAGTACAGCAGTTTAATCATTGTGACAGGAGGCTCTTGACAACTTTTCTCACAACCTAAAGGCATGTAGAGTTTAGCATGAGCTGCTAAGGTTCTCCTAAGTCTTTTTTATGGCAGTGAAAACTTCCTCTGAAGGCTACCATTAGGAAATGCCACCTTTGGAAACAGCCCTTGGAGCCATTTCTCCAATACAGACGGGCAATTCTGGCAGGACTGAGGACCAATATTCAGCTCCTGGCTCCTGGGACACACTGACCCCTAATGTAAAGAATGAACAAAAACCTACTTGAAAACTAGAGGCTTGTAAAATATAGCTATCTGAAGCTTCTTTTGTTGTTCACAGCCCTCAAATTTCACAGCAAAAATTCCCTTTACCTCAGCTCCCATCCACAATTGTCATTGATGACAGTCACTAGGAGAGGTAAATCACTTCTTTAAAAGGCTACAGATGCACTTCCATGCATACTGTTTAACGTTAAAAATCCAATTTATTCAAAAACCTTTGTTCCATCCTTTTTATTTTGGGGGTATTCTGGATATTCTGTGCAATCCCCAGAGGATCTGAAAAGTCTAAAATTGTTACTTAAAGGCTCAAAGTCTCTCACCTCTGTTTGCCCAGTTTTTAGTCTCTCCAGGCCAGGGCCAATAAAGACCTTTATCTAATACCTACAGATCTAAAACTAGTTTAGTTTGATAATTCTGAGCAAGATGGATCAATATTCTGACTTGTTCTTCCAAGAAGCTACCTTCTTTACTACCATATTGTTCTCACTACGGTCCAGTTGGGCTGAGAAATATCCTCTGACTTTCATAACCAAAAGATGGGATTTTAGGCCCATTACTCATGAAGACACACAATGGCTAATTCACTCTCCATGCACAACTCAAACACAACAAAGAAAGAACCAGCAGATGGATTTTCCACGCTTTGTGCTGTGGCTTGAAGCATAGAAGGCCTTTGACAAACTAGGCTGTGTGTTCTTAGACAAAACTTTGGCCAGAAGAACCATCCTGTATCATTTCACTCTTTGTCTCTCTGACTGAATAAATCTACATCACCATATTTTTCCGTGTATAAGATTCCCCCATGCATAAGACTTCCCCCCACTTTTCTAACCCAAAATTTCTTTCTTTACAAAATGCTGCTTTCCCCCTCGCAAAAGGTGGAGGGGGAAAGCAGCTTTTTGCAAAGAAAGTGGAGGGGGAAAACACTTTCCTCGTAAGAAAGTGGAGGGGAAGTGCTTTTCCCCTCACTTTCTTTGCAAAAAGCTGCTTCCCCCTTATCAAAAAGTGGAGGGGAAAGGACTGCCCCCGCTTTTCCCCTCCACTTTTTGCGAGGGGAAAGCAGCTTTTTGCAGAGAAAGTGGAGGGGGAAATCACTTTCAAGAAAGTGGAGGGGGAAAGAAGGAATCGCTTTCCCCCTCCATTTTGTTGCGAGGAAAGTGCTTTTCCCCTCCACTTTCTTTGCAAGGAATCACTTTCCCCCTCCTTACTTCCGTGTATAAAACGACCCTCAATTTCTCCTCTAATTATTTTAGGGAAAAGTGTCATTTTATACATGGAAAAATATGGTATATAGTTACACAAATTTGATATCGCTCTCCTAATGTCCATATCACAACAAGCACTAGACATAAATCTGCTAAAATAAATGAATGCTTATAAAGTGAGTTACTGAGTTTACTTTTTCAGCAATACAAGACTTAGACTGGCAGTGTGCTGGTGTTCATGTATATATAGCCATGATAGTAAGGAGGCCATTTGTACCTGGTTGACAAGGTGCTGAGAGGCATCTTAGTTGTGCAATAAAGCACACAACTGGCCGTGCGATCCAACACCTCATCCACAATTCCCTTGCCAAGTTACACAAACATGACGCAAGTACAAAGAGGCTTCTGGCTTATGCAGTTGATGGTATGTGTAATATCAAATGTCAATTAATGTAAGTATTGATATAGACAATGGGAATGTGGAAAATGTTTCGGGGGAAACATATTTGAAAGCCCTATGGAAAATAAGCAAAAGGAAGAAACCGTTCTCTTTTTCCAAGAGTGTGGGAAAATATCTAAAGCCAAGAGAACTCTTAAGTAGCATGAGAACTATACAGACTGTTTCCCTGCCCAGAGCATGATTAGCAACAAGGACACCAGATTGGTGAAGACTGCCTTAATTACTGAAAAGTGATACAGAACTGGCATATGACCACCGGCTACCGCGTTGGGTTTATATTAAAAAGGCTTGGACCTGAAAGCCTGGTTTGACCATAAAAACCTCATGGGAAGCAACTTTCTGCAAGTTGACGTATCTTAACAGATAGTTCTCAACTTCTTCTCCCTATATGTTGTAGGATTAACTCTCTCACCGCCCCCCAAATAAAGCCCATGTCTATGGGTTCTGGGAATTGAAGACCGACAACAGCTGGGGATTATGACATGAGAACAGCCTTTTTCATAGGGCAATTGCAAAGACACACTGGGAGTAGGAGACTATATGCTGTATGTTAGAAGGCAGGATAAAATGCCATAGATACATTAATTGACTCAAAATTTAACTCACAAAAAGACATTTTGGTCCAATCGTAAGATGCAAGGCATCCTCCATGTTTCAAAGCCGCACATCACTTTTGATTCCTCTCCTTAGGCTTCAACGTTCTAACTTAGCAATGGTGTAAAGATTATGGCAATTTCTGAAACCTGATGGCCCATTGGAACGCAATCTAGATGTGGCAGGCCTCTTGAAGACGAACTTAAGTTGTGATTTTTATCTATTTATTATGGAATTTCAAGTTGGTGTGGAATTTTCTCTCAGCTCTTAACTCATCTTGTTGCTGCAGCTCCACTGGCTGCTCAACTGTTTCGGGGCGCAGTTCAAAATACCCTATAAAGCCTTAAACGGCTTGAGTCCAAGCTATCTCAAGGACTGCTTCTTCTTTTATGAGCCTGCTGAGGTGTTCAGATCATCGGATGAGGCCTTTCTCTTGGTCTCACCACCTTTGCAGGTGCATTTGGTACAAACATGAGAGACAGCCTTCTCTGTTGCTGTTCCCAGACTTTGGAACTCCCTCCCACAGGAGATCACTAACTTAATCTCTGCTGTTATACAAAGACCCTTCTCTTCAGCCAAGCTTTCCCTTAGTGACTGTTTGCCTGAGTGGGGTTTTT